TCATTTCTCTTCTTGCTGAGATTATATCACAATTACATTCAGGACTGAGAAGGAACCTGAGCTGAATCTTACTCTCAGGACTCTCCTCCCAGAGCTTTATACCCTAACCCAGTTTCATTCCCACAAAGAAAATGGCTTTGAAAAGAACAAGGAAACTTTCAAGATCCTGACATCTTTCAAGATTTTCATTGTTACATTGTTTCTTCACCTCATAGCCAATGTAATTTGTTTTCCTTTTAATGTTCCCATTAGCTAGCCTCTTTTGTGTTTTCCTACCAGTGTAAGTGTATAGAAGATACATAAACTGATACTAAGCAAACAAGTTTCTAAGATAATCACAACTTAAGAAAAAATGCAGGCCAAGCACAGTGGCTCATGCCTGTAATGCCAGCACTTTGGGAAGCCGAGGCGAGCGGATCACCTGAGGTCGGGAGTCTGAGATCAGCCTGACCAAAGTGGAGAAACCCTGTCTCTACCAAAAATGCAAAATTAGCTGGGCATGGCAGCACATGCCTGTAATCCCAGCTACTTGGGAGGCTGAGGCTGAGGCAGGATAATCACTCGAACCCGGGAGGTGGAGGTTGCAGTGAGCCGAGACTGGGCCTTTGCACTCCAGCCTGGGCAACAAGAGTGAAAATCCATCTCAAAAAAAAAAAAAAAAAAAAAAAAAAGCTTTCAGTATGTATTTAAAGACTTAAAATAATATTTATACTCATTTACCAATTAAGAAAGAAACTCAAACTGGGAATGCCCAAATTTTCATTTCTAAATACTATTTTCCAATTAAAAAAACAAAACAAACACAGGGACACTTGAAGAAGTGACTGATGCCAGGCTGGGGAAGGGAAAATATAAGGGGGTTTTGGATGCCAGAAAACTAGGGAAGAACTGAAAAAAAAAAAAAAATAGGGGCATGTCAAAGGGACACAGCTCCCAATAGTCAAAGTTAGAATAATTACAGCAATAAAATAACAACAGTACTACACTCTAGGGCAAAGAATTAAAAAAGTATCCAAAGTACACAACAATGTAACTGAGTAAATAACAGGCGAGAACTGACAGCTCTTTTTCACAAAGTATTCCAATGAATACTTTGAATGAAGGAGAAGAGTATCTAAGTATCCAATGAATGCCTAGAAGGAATGAGGGAAAGAGAAAGTCAAATCCTAACACCAAGTAGTCATTCCTTGTATTTTTGGAGCTAATTTTACTGCAGGCAAGATCCATCAATTAATGTTACTTACTAGACCAAAGTTCAAAGCGAAACAGTATCTCATATGCAAAGTAGCAAACTATCTTCCCCCAAATAATTACTGATTACAAAGGGAAAGAGTAAAAATAAATAAAATTTTTAAAAATAGAGGCATGGCAAAGGGACACAGCTCCCAATAGTCAAAGCTAGAATAATTTCAGCAATAAAATAACAATAGCACTTCATTCTAGCGTAAACAATAAAAAAGTACCCAAAGCATACAATAATACAACTGATTGACTTGACAGAAAACATGAGATGCAACCAAACGGAGAGACTTCATAAAAATACAAATATAAAACACTTCAAAAGTGTTTTGAAAGACTAAGTAACTGTCACAGATTGAAGCAGACCAAGTAAACATGATGACTAAATGTAATGAGGAATTCTAGACTGGATCCTAGAATGGAAAAAGAACATTAATTAAAAAAAAAAAAAAAAAAAGGCCCTTAAAAAAAAAAAAAAAAAAGATAAACTTTTAAAAGTTTGCAGTTTAATTATATACCAATGTAGATTTTTTTTTTTAGAGATGGGGTTTTTCCATATTGGTCAGGCTGGTCTCGAACTCCCAGCCTCAGGGTGATCCGCCCACCTTGGCCTCCCAAAGTGCTGGGGATTACTGGTGTGAGCCACCACGCCCAGCCTGTAAACTTTTTAATTTCGATGAACGTACTATAATGCAAGATAGCAACTTTAGGCAACCTAGGTAAAAGGTGTAAGAGAACTCTAAAATGTTTGTAATCCTTTGTAAATCTACAATTATTCAAAATAAAAAGTTTGTCAGCTGAGCTCGGCTCATGTCTGTAACCTTAGCACTTTGGGAGGCCGAGGCACGTGTATCACCTAAGGTCAGGAGTTCTAGACCAGCTTGGCCAACATAGTGAAACCCCGTCTACTAAAAATACAAAAATTAGCTGCTCGTGGTGGTACACACCTGTAATCCCAGCTACTCAAAAGGCTAAGGTGAGAGAACGGCTTGAACAGGGAGGCGGGGGTAGAGGTTGCAGTGACCCAAGATCAAAGATTGTGCCACTTCACTCCAGCCTCCATCTCAAAAAAAAAAAAAGAGGGGTGTTTGTCTTAAATTGATAAGTTCCAGTCATTCAGTCATTTTTATCTGATGTATTTCCATTTTAGGTATTAAATATATATATATTGAGATGGAGTTTCATTCTTATTGCCCAGGCTGCAGTGCAATGGTGCAATCATGACTCACTGCAAACTCTGCCTCCCGGGTTCAAGCAATTTCTCTTGCCTCGGCCTCCCAAATAGCTGGGATTACAGCTCAGATTACGGTGGCTCACACCTGTAATCCCAGCAATTTGGGAGGCTGAAATGGGTGGATCACAAGGTCAGTACATCGAGGCCATCCTGGCCAACATGGTAAAACCCCATCTCTACTAAAATACAAAAAATAGCTGGGGATGGTGGCACATGCCTGTAGTCCCAGCTGCTCAGGAGGCTGAGGCAGAGGAATCACTTGAATCCGGAAGGCGGAGATTGCAGTAAGCCAAGATTGTTACATGGAAATTGCCCCCATAAACTGCATACCTCGACCATACCTCGGCTTTCCATTGAAACTGCTCTCTGTAACCCTAATGTGACAGGCAAGCAGTCCAAACCAACGCCATTTTGGCCCCTGCGCCATTTTAAGAAAAACTAAGACTTGTAATATGTAACTAAGGTCTGTAATTTCCCACCCTACCCAGACAATGTGTAAACTAACACTTATCTTGAATTCTGTGAACCACTTAAGTAACAATCGGAATGTCCAAAGTCCACTGGCCCTTGGAATGTCCAAAGGCCCTCACCCTCACCCCTGCCCAGGAGGTGGTTTACCGGCATAAAAGGTCTTGACACCCTCCTTTTGGGGCCACGGGTTGGAGAGACTCGAGTCCTCCATGGCCGCCAGCAATAAAGACCCTGCAACTTGGCCTAGTCTTTGCCTCAGTGGTGATTTCGCGCTCCCTTGGTTACAAGATCACAGCACTGTACTCCAGCCTGGTGACTGAGCAAGACTATCTCAAAAAAAAAAAGAGGACATTTAATACTGTCAATTTTTATCTACCAATTTGGATTCCTTCTTTTGTCGGTTTGGCTTATATTGACAACCTACTATATGTTCCATCAGTGCAATGAGGCACCTATGAGAAGACAGGTATGTGGATATGTGATATGCTAAACAGTGACAGGTGCTACACAGTAAAATAAAACAAGGAAAAGGAAAAAGAAATTTAAGATTAGGAAGGAAAAAAATAAACTCATAAATTCAATCTTACAGAACACCTACGACACAGGAATGTACTTTTTCACATTGTTTCTAATACAAAATATAATACCTCTTTCACATTGTTTCTAATACAAAATATCAAAAATTACAAAATACAGTGTTACCTTTTACTATAGTTTACTTTCTGAATTCATGACTGCTTATGCACTAATTCTTACTGGATGCCCCAAAGAAAACTTACCAGTGGAATACTTGCCATTTTTCATGCTTTTGTCAGTTCCTTTTTAAGTGCATATTGAGGCTTATCTTCAAAACATATCTCATCTTTTCGGCTTACAGTAAGACTTTTTTTAAACCATAATGTGTCTGCATTTTATTAAGATAAAAAAGAGCTGCCTAATTCCTTGGTCCCTTAATATGTACGAACACACATATAAAACACATGGAGATTCTCTGAAACGCCTTAATCAAATCACTGCTCAAACCACTCCCTGACACTTCCTTGCAAAATGGTGAGTTTTTAGTTTTCCACTGCAAGCAGTTTGAAACAGAGTAACATTCTTTCCTGGCCACCACTTTTAAATTCGGAAGGAGACAATTCTCTGATCTTTTAGGCCTGTGCCTGTCAGAGTGTGCTACAATCGCTGTAGGTTAGAGCCCTGCCTTTGTTTTAAAACTGCATTTTATATAGTTATCTCATTGTGAAAGATAATCACCCTAACAAACAAGATTTTGCGATTTTTCTGCACAAATGTCACTTCACCATTTAGAGCTTCATGTAAATGTGTCCTACAGAAAATAAACCGCAAACATGATGTCATAATTACCCTTGCAAAAAAAAATGTTTTAGTGGTGTCATAATGCTAGTACTAATTTTAGCCAAAATAAGAACAAATGCATTCTACAAATTCAGGAGATTACAATTTTTAAAAAGCAGCAGTATATCCGAATGTACTTAATTTCACTGAATTATACACTTCCAAATGGTTAAATGGTAAATGTTTACATATTGTATGGTAAATGTTATGTGTATTTTTGCACTAGATTGTTTCCTCACAATACAAGTTTTTAAAAAAGCAACAGCACGCTCTCAATTCAGAATAAAATGTATATTTATGAATGTCAGTGTGCATAATTATGCACAGACATTTTAAATGTCAGGAGGCCTGGAGACAGATTTCAGGATTGCGGCTACTTTTACTTTTCTTCTACTTTCCCGTGTTATCTAATCGTCTCTGATAAATAATGCTTTATTTGCCTAATTGGGTGAGAAGAGAAAGCCTGGAGAAACGGGCTCCAGAGCCCGGACGCCCGCGAGGCAGAGAGATTCCCGTTACGCCCTCAGCGTGGCGGGGGCGGGATCCACGGCCAGACCCCAGCCACCCGCGCAGCCTCCAGGCCGGGCCCCGCCCGCCGCCTGGGCAGGCCCGAGGGTGCCGCGGCCTTCGGGGAGCCCCGCGCCCCAATGCCGCCACCCCCACCCCAACTCCCACCCCCGCGCCCCGCCAGGCCGCTCACCGACTCCCGCCAAGCGACAATCGGTCCACCCGCCGCCACCGCAGCTGCCAGTCCCGCGCCTACCTCCCGGCGGCTGGAGTCGCGCACGCGCGTTGGCGCCCCGGGCCCTCCGCGGCCTCTCTAGGAAACTGGGAGGGCCAACATCTCCGCTTCTCCTGGGCCCCGGTGCGGTGGGAGGCGAGGCTTGTTCAACATCCCTCACCTCCCTCCGCCGGACACTTCCCTTCCGCTGGGATGCCCAGCCGCGCCCGTTTTCTTACATCCCTCCTGTAGTGTCTGCGGGGCTGCCCTGAAGGCCTCTTTCCCTCCAAGGAAGAAAGGAATCCAAAGCTAGGGGTGAAAATAGGGCCAGCAATATCTAGCGGACTGCTTCTGGCCAGGAGAAGAGCTTAAGGGAGCTGCTTGTTCTTCCCCTGTGTCCCCTTCAAAGACGGGAACCAGATCCTACGGGAAGTTAGGTGCTTGGACTCCTGCCTTTCCAGGACGACCTCATCCCCATCACCACCATGCCCAGGGATACTTGTTCATAGCCAGCCCAGAGGTGCACCATATTTTAGCTTCCCACGGCCTTCACTTGCTTTCTCCTGTGGGTGAATTCTAACTAGGCTCGCCTGGTGAGTGAACAATGATGCCACTGCCAATAATATGTGGAATCTGGGAGGAGTAAGTTGGGGGTGGAGAGGCTGCTTGAAGAGGAGGTGAATCAACATGGAGAGATTGTAGGGCAAATGTCATCTGTTGCCAGTGCCAGAGAACCTTGAGGATGCAGAGCCAATGTCATAAAACCGTCTGCTGCCACTGGAGGGCATGCTGCAAGCTGCTGGTAGTCCTCTGGTCTGTGCTTCCCAGGGGCAGCTGCAACATGTTGCCAATTGATCTTTCAGATGGGCATTGATGATGCCCATCTGTGCCCTGAGGCTTTGCTTTACTCATCTGATCTACCCCTTTTTAATGCCCCTATCACCAAAGATGGAAACACAAGGGAGATGGTGATGAGGTGATAAACAGATGGCACATTCAAACAAGGTAAGTGGGGAGAGTTCACAAGAGGCAATTTACACATGTGGACAGGGTTAAGGAGATGCAACATGGGGTGATGCGTCCCATGGCTAGCAACATTTAGAAGCTATTCTCACCCCTAGGAGCAGGCCACCTGAGAGAAACTGTGGCTTTCAGTTGAGGGCTACATCCAAGCCATAGTAGTCCAGCACAAAGGTGGGGGGGGGGGGGGG